CCTTATTTCAAGAAGTTATAAACTTTCAATCTATTTTTAGGTTTTGGTTATCTTCTCACCTGTAAGTAGCTTGGATTTCCAGAAATTTTCCATTGTGCTGTATTTTGTGGAGAATTGGAAGGGGTTACAAATACTACAGAGAGTTAATGGTCTGGGGAATGGTTCAGTTCCTGCCTTAATTAGTAATGCAGGCTGGGAATACTTATAACTCCCAGAGTGTTAATATCCAGAATGTAAGTTTCTTTATGAAAATCATGTTCTATGACAAGATGCACACTAGAATCTCATGATAATTCCATCTTTATTTTAAGAAATAAGGGAGATGATATGTAAAAATTGCCTTGTAAATTGCAATTATGATGTACATACATAAATGGCTAAAATTATATAAGATTGATTTTCCTCTTTTCATTTCACAAGTATTTTTGAATATGTAGCTGATCTACACACTAGCTAAATAAAATATGCTATTGTGTAGGGTTGAGAGGGCAATAGGGAAATACACAAAGGAAAGCAATAAAACCGTAGCGCAACCTTAAGAGAATTGCTATGACTGAAGTATGTCCTCAGGCTGCTGCGATTTTGTAGTAGCTCTTTACATGAAAGGGTGGTATTTAAATCCTGACTCTTCTACCTACCAATTTTATGACCTAGGGAATTAAACTTGTCATGTCCTGTATACTACTTTGTGAAATGTGTGTATTATTTGGAAATAGTATTAGGTTTACAGTCATTAAATGAGTTCTTATTTAGTTAGTAATTAAGAGTTCAAAAATGTTCATTACTATCCCCTATTTTCCAACCCCAATGCACCGATAACCAAAGACACTAAAAACAAAGTCTGGCAAATGGTAGCAAAAATGATTCAATGTGGGGGTAAAAGTGGATGTTGAGAGGCAACTTGTTAAACTTGCATTATTTCAGGTCAGAGGCAATGGGTCTTGGCATAAAGCAGGGCTCACTGTGATGGAGGAGATTCAATGAAATGAGCCTATTCATGTGAATGTTGACATATTAAAATAAATTTAAAAATGTTTAAAGTTCTGATTTACAAAATCAGTTGCAGAAGTATATTAGAGTTCCCATACACTCCTCTCTCAATGAAACATCTTCCACATTTTAAACATCTTATGCAATTACCATCATACATTTGTCAAAGCTTCTGCACAGCAAAGGAAACAAACAGAATGTAAAGCCAACCTACAGAATAGGAGAAAATGTTTGCAAACCACATATCTGATAGAATATACTTTCCAATACACACATAAGGAACTCATACAACTCAAGGGAATTAATCACTCAAAAAGTTTGCTAAGGACATTGGTTTAGACATTTTTTTCTAAGAAGATATACAAGTGGCCAATGGGTACGTTTAAAAAAATGCTCAGTGTCACTAATCATCAGTGAACTACAAGTCAAAACCACTATGAGATAGTACCTCACACCAGTCAGGATGGCTATTATAAAAAAAAAAAAAAGAACACAAAAATGAATGACAAGTGTTGGTAAGGATATGGAGAAATTGGAACCCTTGTAAACTGTTGGTTCAAATGCAAAGTGCAGCATCTGCTATAGAAAACAATATGGGGGTTCTTCACAAAATTAAAGGTCGAAGTATTATATGATCCAGAAATCCTGTTTCTGTACATTAACCCAAAATAACTAAAAACAAAATTGCAGAGAGATATAAACATTCCCATGTTCACTGCAGAACTATTCATTACAGTCAAGATGTGGGAACAACCTAGATTCTATGGACAAGCAAACATGGAGTAGACATACAGAGGAGTGCAATTCAGCCTTGAAAAAAAAGGAAGTTCTGCAATGTATGACCACATTTCTGAGCCTTGGGGACAGTATGGTAAGTGAAATAAGCCAGTCGTAGAAGGACAAATGTTGCATGATTCCACTTATGTGAAGTATCTAGAATAATCAAATTCATAGAACCAACGAGTGGAATGATAGTTGCCAGGGGTTGGGGGAGTGGGAAATGGAGAGTTAAAATCATTGTGCATAAAGTTTCAATTAAGTCAGATGAGTAAGTTCTAGAGATTTGTTGTCCAAAGTTGTATCTGTAGTTAACAACACCGTTTTGTACAATTAAAAATCTCCTAAGGGGGCAGATCTCATGTTAAGTGTTCTTACCACAATAAAATAAAATTAAACGAACAGAAATGTTAATACATTATGGTCCCTAAACTCTGCGCTTTTTTTGGATTCCATCAATTTTTTCCATTAATGCCCTCTTTCTTTACTGGAATCTAGTCCAGGGTGCTACATTGCATTTAGTTGGGTCCCCAGTATCCTCAGATATGTGAGAGTTTTTTATTCTTTTCTTGTTTTTTTTGACTTGGACAGTCCTAAGGAGTACTGGCTGGGTATCCTGTAGAATGTTGTGCAATCCTAATCCTACTACATGTAGGTGACACAATAATGTGCATAAAAATTATTTTAAGACAATACCCCAGTGTACCCTTGGCACACTACTTTGATATATTGACTCATGCAACCTCTTTCCTGCATGTATCACCTGCTGTAAAATACATATACATTGTCTCCAAAGGGCTTTGGAATAATTTGATCAGAACTCTCTCTCTGATCAACTGTCATCCAGGGTCCTTGCACTCAGTAAGACTCTGAATAAACTCTTTCTTAACACAACAGCCATGTTGATTTCAGTTGACCCAGGCCAAGTTTTTCCACTGTAAACTTGAATTTGGAATTTAAAATGTAGTTGGTGAAAAACAGCTATTTCTGGATCATTCTTTTTTTCTTTTCTTATTTCAAACTCTACAGATCATGTTTTCTTCAGTGAGTATGTATTATTTCAGTAATTCAAATCTAAAAGCAATTAAGGTAGAATAGATGTGGTAATGAGCCCTAATAACTTAGAAGAAAATGCATCTACTACAATGACACAAGAGACATGACCCAACTAATTGGTTTGTGGCCCACTGAGTAATACTCTAATTAAAATTCTCTGTGGTCTAGTCTTCATGGTTATAGAGGCAGATACAAGACCCAGAGTTTGGCAGAATTTAGAGTATGGATTCAAGCTTCAGTTTTTTCTTTGTATTCTCTGAAATTTCTTATGTCCTGGAAATAAAATGCCATTTTACTGGCACACCTATTGAAATATACTACCACTTTTGTTACAAACTTCAAGCCTGTTGTCATCTAAAAGAATGTTTGATTACCAAGAAGAGAAATAAAAGAAAGAATGCTTGATTTTTGAGATTTATTATCATAAAAATAAATCCTCAATAAATTGAGTTCCTGGTTTCAAGCAGGTCAGTTCATTTCTCTTTTGGTATCTTTCAATTTATGTGGAAAACATGGAGTTCCAGCTCATACAAATTATTCCAAAAATTGTAGATGGCATTTTTATGGTCAGATATGTTCTAATTTTCACCAACTGGGCATGATGCGTTTCTCAGTAAATTTTATATTACAGAAACTGGCAGCAGTGAATAATGGTGAAGTCGCAGAAAATTTATGGGATGTTTGCTGATTTTGAAATCACCTAAACCAGGTTTCAATTTGAGTTATCTAATCCTAATCCATTGATTTTCACCAAAATCATTTGAAATTGCTAGGATTTGAATATCACTTCTTTTCTGAATATCTTTTTCTTATTGGTTTTCATATTTCTAAGATGTATACAAAGAAGCCAGAACAATAGTAGCACTCTCCCTAACATGCTAGGGTTTTGCTTATGTTTAAATATTGAAGGGAACTCATTTATTAAAATGGCCCGAATATAGTTGATATTTACAAAGTAAATCGCTATTGAAAAATATATGCTGATTATGGATGCTTTATTTCTGAGGTTGCTTGTAGTTTTTATAAAGGTAGGCACTCATGTTGCTGAGTCTGGAGCCTGACATTTGTTTTGGAAAAAGCTAAGAAGATGGAACAGACCATCCATCTAATTCTGCTACAGGCCTAAGTCTGTATCTTGGGCTATATCTCGTTCATTTTATGGACTTAAGGCTCTTACTTCCTTATCTTCCCAAAGTTTACCTCATCATCAGAGAGGGTTTACTTTTTATTAGTGAAGAAAATGCATAATTTTCATTATATGATAAAATGAATTTTGTGTAGAATTATTGTTGGCAAATATACTTGTGTTCTGTTTCTAAAAAAAGATCATATGTATATCATTCATATGCTTTATTATGTTTATAAATTTATAATATATATCAGAATGGATGACCTAAAACATTAATAGTTAACAAAAATTCAATTTTAATTAATCAAATGATGAATGTTAAGCAAAATATATGTAAAAGACCCACAAAATTGCCCCAGGAGGCAATCGCATTACACCGGTGGTGTAATTACAGTGGAAGCTTAGCTGAGGCCCCATGACCACTCCATGCTAAGATTCTGTAAGGAAATCTCAAGCATGACGTAGAAGGCATGGATGAGATCCATTTTAAGATTTATTCTAACTAATAAGTTCTATGGATATTTAATCCTGTATTGTGCCTAGAAAAGGCAAAAAAATATAAAAACAATTAAGACTAAGATCTGTGTGGTGCTGTGCTGCAATACCAAATGATCAGCTTGATCCTTGGTATAATTCTCAGAACTGTAGCAAGGTACTCTGTGGTTGTGGTTTGCCCCTCTTCTGGTTTTTTTTTTACAATTTCTTTGTATTGTAAATTCATGTTTTAGGTTCTATATTAATAATACTAACAAGGACTGAATTTTCATCAATGGAAAGATTACTACGTATTTTCTAGACTGGTGGTTTCATATTGTGGGCCCCATGCCAGAGCGTTTGATTCAGGGAAGTTGGTGGGGCTAGAGAATTTGCATCTCTAACAAATTCTTAGGTGTTTCTCTGCTACTGGTTCGGGAACCACACTTTAAGAATCGCTGTTCTATACCCACTTCACAGAGATATGTGAAGCCCCTTTCTGCTCTCTGTTTTCCCTTTTAATTAAGTTCTGTTTTTCAGAAATAACCTTTTGGCTCTTTATTCAACAGGAATCATGATGTTATCTGAAGGAAATCAAAGTATCATACCCACTTTTGTTCTCCTGGGTTTTTCAGAATATCCAGAGCTCCAGGTTCCACTGTTCCTGGCTTTCTTGTCTGTCTACACAGTCACTGTGGTGGGGAATTTGGGCATGATAGTCATCATCAAGATCAATCCAAATCTTCACACGATTATGTACTTTTTCCTTAGTCACTTGTCCTTTGTAGATTTCTGTTATTCCTCCACAGTTACACCAAAACTGCTAGAGAACTTGCTTGTAGAAGATAGAACCATCTCTTTCTCTGGCAGCATTATGCAATTTTGTTTTGCTTGTCTCTTTGGAGTCACAGAGACTTTTATGTTAGTAGCAATGGTCTATGACCGTTTTGTGGCAGTTTGTAACCCGCTACTCTACGCCACTGCTATGTCCCAGAAGCTCTGTGCTCTGCTGGTGGCTGGTTCTTACTCATGGGGTATAATGTGTTCCCTGACGCTCACATATTTTCTTCTTGCATTATCTTATTGCGAGTCTAACATCATAAATAATTTCATCTGTGACCACTCTGTAATCGTTTCTGTCTCCTGCTCTAACCCCTATATAAGCCAGATGATGTGTTTTATTATTGCCATATTCAATGAGGTGAGCAGCCTGATAATTATTTTGACATCCTATGTACTCATTTTTATCACTGTTATGAGGATGCCTTCTGCAAGTGGGCGCTGGAAAACTTTCTCCACCTGTGCCTCCCACCTGACAGGCATCACCATCTTCCATGGAACCATTCTTTTCCTTTACTGTATCCGTAATCCTAAAACTTCTTGGCTCATAGTTAAAGTGGCTACTGTGTTTTACACTGTGGTAATCCTCATGCTGAACCCCTTGATGTACAGCCTTAGGAACAAAGATGTGAAAGACACATGCAGAAAATTAGTTGTCTCAAAATTGCTTTGTTGCTCAAGATGAGTGTGGGATTATTTTATTTTGGAAAAAAAATTCATTTGCCAGGCTACATATTGCTTAATTGCAATGCAACTGATGACTCAGATAATTTAAGCATTAGACTAATAGTTAATATATCTATGGCAGCACAACTTTTTATGACTGATTGTTGCGTGCATCAATGCTTAGTGACATAACTGGAAGCCATGTGTAAACCCAAATATAACCCAACATAATATAAACCCAAATATAAAAAATATAATTTTGATAAGATCTTTTGCAATCTTTATAAATCATTTTTAAACACTTCACCATATATAGTATAATTTTATATGTGTGTTTCCAAAGTTTAACTAATTCCCAGCTCATCAAATATGTGTAGGTCCAGGGTGGCTCCCTAGAATTATAATCAGGAACCCTACTCCAGAGATGGCTTTGATAAATGTGTTACCTTACTGTATCTTTTTCAGCAAACAATCCTTTGCTATTTATTGTATTCAAGGGTAGACATTGATCTTTATTCATGAAAATCATAGCCTGCTTACAAGTAAACAAAATTGAATAAAATATTTTTCTTTCTTTAAATTCATATCGTATTTCATTCCATGTAATTTTTTGATTAGTCAAGGCAGTGGGATATTAAAATAATAGAGTCCCAGAATAGACTGAAGCACACCTGCTCATCTAAATTTCAACAAAAATGCCACTCTAATTCAATGGAAAATTGAATTAGAGAATTTCATCAAACAATCTTAAGACAACTGGATATCTATATGGATAAATAAGCCTTAACTTTTACTTCATACTATATGTAACTATTAACATAAATCCCAGGGAAAACAAAGGTGTACCTAAACTGGGTGATTTTTGCATAGAGAGGAACCAGTGGATTGGGTAACAGTGGTGTAGGATAGTAAACTCGTTTCCAAAATTCATTTGCCATTTTTAGGACAGTGTGGGTGTAGTGAGGTTATATTATTCAACTGTATTAATATAAGCTTGGAAGAATGGACTGCCCATATTTGGAAATGCGTTTCCATGAGGTAAATCAATGTTTACAAAGACAATAATGATTATTTATGTTAAATGAAAAAGCCACGATCCAAGTTATGTTGCCTATACATCTCAAGACACATATACATTATACACAGATAAAGACAGAAAAATAACATAGCAAATGTTAATAGTGGTTATCTCTTAATGGTTTCATTTTAGCTGAGTTATCCTTTTTGCTGTTTACTGTAGTCACCATGCCTTCTAAGTCAATTCGTATATTTTCCATAATTAAATGTTTAAAAGCAATTGATGAAGTAAGCTTGATGAAGCATCATTTCCAGTGACCTAGAAGAAATTACACTCTTGTAAAATGCCGCAGAAGAACATGTTCAGTCCAATTTCTTAGTCTGTGATATAAAAAGAAATATTCAATAAAACTTCTCTAGGGTCTAAATCCCTGAAGTCATTGAGGTACACATAAGCCCTGTAATTTGCTCCTAGGAGTCAGATTCATATTGCTCTCTTTCTTTTTCTCTCTCTGTTCTCTGAGTTTTTCTGAATATAAATAAAGAAATATATTCCCATCACACTAATTAAAATTTATTGTTGACTCTCCTGCTATATGTATCAACTTCTTAATATTTTCAATAATGTTTGAATTCTGAGTGGAAACTTCTTGGAGTCTATTAATAATAGGAACAGGATCTTCAGGTGAATTGGTTTTAGATTGAGTGATTTATTTTGTGTTATCTTTCATTTATGTAAGGGACATGGAAGGCCTGCAAACTTTGAGGCAGGGAACATGACTTTGTTAGTCTAACTGCCAAAGTAGCTCCTGAGCCTGTCTTACCAAGGATTTATGGTGCTGAGCTTTGATCTCTTCCCCTGTCTTAGGGGCGTCATCCTGCTTTTTGTTTTGGGGCTATCCACCTTGTGCCTAGCATAGTACAGTCATACTGAAAAATTTTGAAAGAATATTAGAAAATCTGAAAATGGCATCAACATCTCAAAATCTTGTACTATGTAGGAAGTAGTAGTGAACACCATATATCATAAAAATTTGACATGCTGACAGTAATGTATCCACCAAGAATGTGGAAAATGTCAGAGTGAAAAGGAAACATTTCTTCGTGATTGTAGTTTTCATTGAACACTTTCTATATTGCACATGCTAAATGAGTACGCTAGAAAATGAGGATATTCCAGGTAAAAGAAAAGAAAAATTAAATAAGCCAGGGAATAAATGAGCATGTGTTGTTCCTTATAAGCTGAGAATATTGGTATGAATACCTGGGAATAGCTAGGGTAAGGCTTTAGATAAATCTGAGCAGGAAAGATTAAATCAGATAATTTACCTACTAGGGAGAAATCAAAGTTTTCAGAGCCAAACACAGTCATAATAACCAGAATAATCAAGGGAAAAAGAGATGTTCTCACAGGGCAGGCTGGCAGCCCTAAGAGAAGTTGGCTGCATAATCTACTTGAGTAATGATGGCAGTTTGCTAAGTCCTCCATAGACACCAACCTGAGGTAAGAAGGAGTCAGATAATAATGAGAAGGCAAAGGGAAAAACAACAACAATTTATTGAAGGACAGCAATTGCTGAATTAAGATGGTCACAGCCTAGAGGAGATCCTAGAAAGAGGGCTGAGCTCCCCATTGACATCTCAAATTGTACCCACATGTCCATTGCTGCCCACTTGATCTGTTTCTTTGATTTCAAAAAAAAAATAATAAAAGGGTTTAAAAATGATACCAATTAGTCATAGCAGGAAGAATTAAAAGAGGAATGAGTGGGGAAACAGATCCTCCTGGACTCCACAACTGTCAGACTTGGTACTAAATGTATTAACATCATTTCCTAATTTAATACTTACACATCTATGAAATATGTATTATCATGTTATTACTACTCATAAAGGAGTTGAGGCTCGGATAATTTGAGTAATTCGCCAAAGATCAGACAGTAAATGACAAAGCCTGGCATTAAGTTTTAATCTGTGTATCCAAGCTCACTCATTATACTGGTCTCTCATCAACTCTTTGTCACTTTTCTGCCCTTTATGCATGTAGGAAATACATTTTTTTTTGTGTCAAAAATAGCATTTAGCTATGAGGATAATAATAGTTTCTTTCTATCTTGGCCTGATCAGACAAAACTGAAATGGTGTCTTTGTGAGATTCATACTAATAGTCTTTTACTAACTTGCATATTTCAGACATGTGCTTGTTATAGGCTAACTTCTTTTTAAAATCATTGTTACATGATTAAAGATACCTCTGTGGTAATGAACTGATTGCAAATACGGGATGCTTTTGCTTTCTCAAAATAATGTATACAAATATAACAAAGATTATATGAAACAAAACAAGACAATCACATATGTAGCTTTAATCAAACCCAATATTCCCATCAGCAAAAATTTTGAGGGTAATTATGTAACCATTGGTATTTATTACCACATTCTCTAGCTTTCTCTAGAGAATATGGAAGACTGGAGCAAAACACTTTTGAATTACTCAAATTCAGGTAGCTCATGAGTATTTAATGCTGTAATAAGCCTCTTAGAGTTATGAGATTAAAAATTTTAAATAGAAAATTAAAAGATAATTATCAAGGAATCTAGATGAGTATGTTGAGACCAGTGACACTAAGTGAGAAAACACTTATGTAGGAAAGAAAACAGGAATGAGATAACAAAATGTCATAAATGGACCTTCATTGTTTTACCAGGTTGTTGCATTATTTTTAGAACAGGAAGGCTGTATTTGTAGCATCAGGATGGAATCAATGGAAATCTTGAAGATATATAATGTTATATTTCCTTCATCGTCTATGTAATTTTTTCAAAACTCAAAAATTCTTGTGGCAATTCAGTGAATGCTGCCTTTATGATCCTCAGTTTGAATATCATAACTATTGAAGTATTAGCACCTCTAATGTTTGAATTCATCTGACCTTTCATTATAAATTTTAGTGTTACATTTATATTCAATGTATTAGTACTATGAAAAAGTACCGATCTGTGGAATGATGGAACTGTGAGAGACACATGTCTTCTACAACAATGTAGAATAGTTGTCTACCTAACCCTAAACTTAATTCCAGTTCTGCTACTCAGGATCAACATCAAACCCTAACTCATCACGCACGAGCTGCATAACCTCCAACACGTTCCTTAACCTGTATATGCTTCAGTTTTCTTGTGTGAAACATGGGGTTATTGTTTTACAATTTGTGGTGTTCCTTGATGATCTAAACTAATATATTTGAATGTTTAGCACAATGCCTGCCATGTGGTAAATGTTATATAAATGTTATGTAACTTATATAAATGTATTGTCATTATAAGCACTAGTATATTTTTGTTATTATTCTTTCATGTTTTCTCCAACAGTAATCATGCTGTTGGCTGAAGGAAGTCAGAGAACTGGAGCCACGTTCACCCTCTTGGGTTTCTCAGAGTATCTGGACCTCCAGGTTTCCTTGTTCCTGGTACTGCTGATCATCCACACAGTCACTGCGGTCACGATAATCAGAATCAGTCCCAAACTCCACACCTGCATATTACTTTTTTCTCAGCCACTTGTCCTTTGTTGATTTCTGTTATTCCACTACAGTTACACCCGAACTGTTGGAGAACTTAGTTATGCAAGACAGAGCCATCTCTTTCACAGAATCCATCATGCAATTCTTCTTGGCTTTGCATGTTTGTGGTGGCAGAAACATCCATGTTTGCAGTGATGGCCTATGGCTGACTTGTGGCAGTTTGTAACCCTCTACTCCACACCGTAGTCATGCTCCCAGAGCTGTGTGCATCACTAGTAGCTGGGGGAAGAGTCTCTTCCCTGACATTCACCTATTTTCACCTCACATTACCCTTCTTTGGGTCTGACATCATAAATAATTTTGTCTGTGAGCACTCTTTTATCGTCTGCTCTGACCCCTACATCAGCCAAGTTCTTTGTCTTGTCATCGCCATATTCAACGAGGTGAGCAGCCTGGTAATCATCCTCACTACATGTAT